CACGAAAAGAATCGCCTCTCGTAATCCTCTGGTCAAAAATGATCCGAGCATATAGTCGAAGTCTAGCTTTGACGGCACAAACAAACGTTTTGCGGATACAAAACCAACCCATACTTTTCTTCGTCTTTTAGCTTCCGCGCGTTCGTTATCGAAGTATGGAATATTGTGTAAACTTATTCCATCTTTTAAACATGGTTTATTGGTACAGTTAGCTGCAACATAGTAAAAAGGCATATATTTTTTGATCACAAATCTAGTATATTTGTATATGGACTATATGCGCCAAGAGTTAGTACCAGTCGAATAAATTATAGAATACCCCGACTCACTTGCGTGACGTAACAAAAATCGCTCGTTCCAGTTTCCTTCGAACACGGACGCGTGCCAACAAAAAGGCCACATTTTGCGTGTTCAAACGGCTCTAAATTTTTTTCGTTTCAATGAAATAAAAAAATTCTTTCACCAAAACACTCCACATAATGTGTACTTTCAATACACAAAAAATCAATTTTTGTGTCAGGGGCACTTTAAAGTGATCTTTTGTGTAACAGAACTCACAACAGGTGTAACACTCACACTCGCTCAATAGAAACAGATGTGTGCGTCGATGCAAACATAGTACCCACAATACCTTGCTGTGTTGACGTGCATTTTATAAGCTTCTTTTTCTGTTGATGACATCACACATGGGCATCTTCGAATGTTGAACGATTCTGACACGTGGGTACCTCGTGGACAGCAGGTGGTGTAGGACGGCGGCGAGTCTAGAAAATGTTTACTCATATTATTTGCGTGCATATACTACTTCGTACACAGGGTTTTGGCCATCCACACACGAAATAAGTAATTATAGAGGGTTTTGTGTATGGAAATTGCGAGTGTGAACCCCACAACACTAATATAGGCCCTCTACTCCCTCTAGCAGGAATTGAACCTGCTGCCCCGCGATTCTGGTGCAGCGGTCTAACCAACAGAGCTACAGAGGTCAAGTTGAACTTCATAAATTGAGCAAGTATTTTACCTGGCGATTCTTCAGAATTTTCAGAATTTTCATCTTTCTCAGAACTTTGCTCATTCTCAGAATTCGAAACTGTTGCGTTACTTCGTGATGGACTTTGCTTAGGATTCTCCGAAGTTTCATCGCGAGACTCATCCTGGCTTTCCGTGTCACTTTCATCATTCTCGGAATCATTTCGTGACGATTTAGATGGCGATTCGTTTTCATCACGATATTCAACTGTTTCATTTGCTATAAAAAACATGATGCAATTATGTTTGTAAATTATCGAATAATTATAAATATTATAATAACTACCGTGCTTTGCTCTGAATCACTTAAAAGAATTTCAAAATCTGAATCGCTTTAAAATATTCACCTGGAGACGAGGAATGATCGCGAGTTCCAGAATCATTTTCCAAGATTTTCTCCGATGTTATGTCTTTAGAATCTCCTTCGTTCTCGGAATCGGAATGACTTTCCGGGACTTTATAAGATGATGTACTGCTTCTAGGAGTCCTGAATACCTCTTCACCTTCAGAGTCCGACTCGGAGACATTCTCAGAAACAGCTTCTGGATTCTTAGAAACGTTTTCAATCTCCGAACCAGAATCACTTTCATGAGCACCTGATGATCCGTGAGTGTTATCCTCATTCTCAGAATCTGAATTGACTTCCAATACTTCAAGCGCTGAGCGTCGTTCCTGAGTTACCAGCTGATTATCCTTGCCTTCATTTTTCTCAGAAATTGAAATGTTTTCTTGGAATTTTACAACTTCAGCTTCATTTTCCGAGTCACGCTCGTCTTCGGAACTATCATCACTGTCAATGATTTCACGCCCCGGGCGCTTTCGAGAAATTTCTTCATCTGTTTCGGAATCGGACTGCTCACTGCGTCCTGGAACTTCAACTGCCTTAGTCATCTCCTCTTCTTGAATATCTGCATTATCTTCAATTATTTCGGCACTTCCCGATCCCTGCTGGTTTACTGAAGATTCATTAACGCTTTCTTCTTCTTCCGAACCAGAATCACTTTCATGAGCACCTGATGATCCATGGTTGCTATCCTCATTCTCAGAATCTGAATTGACTTCCAATACTTCAAGCGATGAGCCTCGTTCCTGAATTACCAGCTGATTATCTTTACCTTCATTTTTCTCAGAATTTGAAATGTTTTCTTGGAACTTTGCAACTTCAGTTTCATCCTCCGAGTCACTTTCCACGACACGTCTCGATAGTTTACTTTCTCTATTATTCTTAGAAATTGCACGCTCGTCTTCGGAACTATCATCACTATCAATGATTTCACGCCCCGGGCGGTTTCGAGAAATTTCTTCATCTGTCTCGGAATCGGACTGTTCACTACGTTCTGGAACTTCAACTGCCTGCATCATCTCGTCTTCCGGAACATCTGCATTATCTTCAATTATTTCGGCACTTCCCGATCCCTGATGGTTTACTAAAGATTTATTAACGCTTTCTTCTCCTGCAACGAGATCCGGTGAGGAGCTTCGTTTGAGGATCCCCAACTGATTCTCACCTGCAGTCTCTCGATTTTTCTCAGCAATTGAAGCGTTTTCTTGGATTTCTTGAGGTTGCAATTCTTCGTTAATTTCAGTTTCATTCTCGGAATCACTTTCTACGACATGCCTTGACGTCTTGTCGTTCTCGGAAAGTTCAGAACTCTGTTCTTCAGCGGAACTTTCATCACTGTCTATGCTTTTATCTGCCGACCGTACAGGGCGTTTCCGTGCAATTTCCTCGTCTGAATCAGAACCTGGCTGTTCAATATTTCCTGGAAATTCGGCTGTCTCGATTATTTCAACATCGTCAACTTGTGGCTCTTTTACATTCTCAACCATGCTACGACTCGATAATTCTTGATGGTGATTTGCTAAAGAGCCGGTGCCTCTTTCTTCTATTTCAACAAGGCTGTTCTCATTTTTATTTTTCTCTACTTCTGGTTCTTGGAAATAAATGTCTGGCGTTATTTCAACGACATTATCTAAAATGTACAATTAAGAATTAATGCTTTAGAGCGAAAAAACTATTAATACTACCTATCATACTAGATAGCTCTACTAGTTCTAAACTGTTTTACCCAAATTCGTGCAACTAGAACCTGGAACTCTTCGCCAACTACACTAAGATCTCGTGGCATTAATATTAGGCAATTCAAAACTACTTTACAAAGTTACTATCTGACAACCCTGAGAGAATGCTTCAACGAAGAAGATCCGAGGACATGGTCATGGAACGCTATATGTCTGAAGTGTAACACTAGTCGTTACTTATGTTCTAAACTAACTTGGACCAAAAAAAAAATATGTGGGTTTCCGGTTTCTTCTTATAAAAACTTAGGTAGGGTAGGTCGGTTTTAACTTTTTTTTTTTAACTTTTTTTTTTAATTTTCCGAATAGGCGGACGCCATTTTGTCTAGTCAGTGCTTCCACATCCAAAGATAAATTTCCCTAATATTGCCTCAAATTTCAATTTTCCACAAACTTTTTCCTCTAAGTGGAAACACTTACAAGCATGATCCAATAAAAAAGTTTAGGGTCGGGATTTCGACGTTGAAAAGCTAGGTAGGGTCGGGAAACCGGAAACCCACATATTTTTTTTTTGGCCTTGTTGTTTTTAGTCTCCTGTCCATGGTACTGTATGGTAACATAATTGTGCGTTTTTTGTATAGGGCCCACAGTAATTGGTTTACACTGTTGTGGGTCCCTGTCATTCTTGTCCATGTTTATTGTCTAGATGTCTATTTGTTGTTCTGTTACGTGTTTTTGGCAAAGTTTAATAAATACATTGCAACCTATTGGGTCAGTCTACAGGAGGAAGCCAAACAACCACATAGGATTGAGATGAAATTATAATCAGACAAATACATCTAGCAGGAAATTAGGAATCAAAGCCCGGTGACGAAAGACACATGAACTGCGACATAAACTATATAACTACAATACTATCATTACCTTTAGTACGCACAGATGACTGTTCATTCAGTGTTATGGCGGAAAACTGCTGTTCTAAAGCATCGTCGTCCATTTTCGCATCCAACACAGTTAGGTCAATAACGTCAGACGGTGGGGGAGACTAAAACAAAAACATTAATTACAAATTTAATTGTTAGCAGGAGGAAACCTAAAGTTGCTATTAAGACTAACTTGATTTACGTTATACTGGATAGCGCTACCAGTTTTAAACGGTTCCAGTGTCAGTGAGGATCATCTCTTATTGACTCAGTGTTACTACAGGAGGAAATCTACACTAAACTAACTCTATTTATACTGGATAGCTCTACTAATTCTAAATTGTTCTTCCTAGAGGTCCAGTGAGGATCATCTCTTATTGATCCAGTATTATTACAGGAGGAAATCTAAACTAAACTAACTTTATTTATACTGGATAGCTCTATCAGTTCTAAACTATTCCCCTTGGATGTACAGTAAGGATCATCTCTTATTGATCCAGTGTTACTACAGGAGGAAACCTAAACTAAACTAACTTTATTTATACTGGATAGCTCTACCAGTTCTGAACATGCACTAACCACGTTACGAACACGTGATAACCAAAATAACGGTGGTGCACATGGTGCCAGAGGGTAGACCCCAAAACACTGACGGAAACTAAGTTACAAAGTTCATCAAACCCAAGATACCTTGGACACTTTCTTTCCTGGTTTAAATCGTCTCGAGTCTTCTCTCGAAGGAATAAACATTTCCACTGCATGATCCTGAATCTTGGTTTGACTTTTCTTTCTATTTTCAGTCGGAGGTAAATTCACTCGTCCTGTTGCTTGACTCGACTCTGCTCGCATGATGTCGGCTGCTCGACGGACCTGGAAAAATTCGTACGAACACGATAAATCCCCAAAGCTCAAAATAACGGATGGTGAACGGTCAATGACCGGCCAAATTTTTTGATGACTAAAAGTTTCCACTAGAATTTTGAGCATACACGTAAAAGTCTCACAACTTGTCAACATGATGTGTTCGCAACAGGCTTGTGGCAAGCTTGTCAACAAGCTGTATTATTATTTATTTCAAAAATTCCTGGTTTCTGATTGGCTAACAGCCAACTGTGAAATTGTCATATCAACTCAATGGCTAACCAAATACGGATTTTTCACATTCATATTAACAAAATGACGACAAAAAGTCGATATGAAAAAAATTTGGACGCGTTTGCGCCATATTACTATGACGACGAGAATCATATTGACTCGCTGACGCCATTTATATGACGCGACGACGGCTGCCGAAGGACTAAGGAATTGTTTTTTTCTTAATACAAATAAAATACAAATGTTTGTTTTGAATTTTTTAAATAAATAATAAAACAATTATTGAATTCGGTTTTCGCACAATATGAAGAATTATCAAGACCTCAGTTTGCCGTTATCAACCTCAGCCTTCGGCTTCGGTTGATAACGGCAAACTTCGGGCTTGATAATTCTTCATATCGTGCTCAACCTCATTCAATAATTGTTAAATAATGCATGCTGTTATTTTATCAAGTTGCTACAAGCTTGTCACTCACAAGTCAAGTTGAAATTGCGCATTACAACCCTTTTAATTGAAAAACTAACTAGGAAAATCAATTAAGCATAATTCAAGATCAGTGAACTCAATGTTTTTAACATTGAAAATGTTAAAAAATGTTGAAAACATTGAAATCACTGATTCGCCTTAAAACATCATTCAAAAGGCTGAACTGTGCCTTTAACACCATCAGTCGTCATCTGCATGAACATTCATAACTCATCCACGTGCTTACATGCATCAGGCCAAAAAAAATATGTGGGTTTCCGGTTTCTTCTTATAAAAACTTAGGTAGGGTAGGTCGGTTTTAAATTTTTTTTTTTAACTTTTTTTTTAAATTTTCCTAATAAGCGGACGCCATTTTGTTTAGTCAGTGCTTCCACATCCAAAGATAAATTTCCCTAATATTGCCTCAAATTTCAATTTTCCACAAACTTTTTCC